CACGGCGTGACGTGACAATGTGTGTAGGTAGTGAGTAATTGAACTGCAGTCAGAAAGTATTGTTGAAGTTTGTTGTTATAGAGCGACTGTTGAAAATAAGTGTATTGGTAAAGTTATATTCGGAAAGAATAAACCAGTTTTATTAAGAAAGGACTTGTGTCGCTAAAGTTTCGTGGGAACGAAGTTACGGAAAATCAACTAACGAACGGAGACGTAACACTATGTATGTGTGTATAAAAAATCGCGAAAGGACGGAAAGAAACACGTGACGTTTAATTCTTGCACATACAGTCCATTGTGTAACTTTCTGTTTAATATTAAACAAACAAACTACCTGATAGATATAGTTATTATAACTTATGCACGTTATAGCTGACCTCTCGTTCTGCACTTTCGACTTCGTCGCTGTCCTTTTGTATTTCTTTGATGTTGTTGTTATAATTCCTCTGTACGTTTGGCTCCTTTTGTTGACCATCAAATTACCGATGACCTCAGTAATAATTAATGGAATTAATTGCAAAAATGGTGGTATATTTTCTACTAAATATTTATTGTGTGACTCAAATGTTATTAGAGACCCTGTAATCAGGTTATGAACTCATAAACAATTTGATACTTAAATCATTTTAAAAAAGTCGGTAAGGTCCAACCCCATCAATAATTCTAAAGGTAAAAAGTAGACTTACGGATTTGAAAGTTTCATTACAAAAATATTATTTTCATTTTAAAAGTTTAAGAGATGAAATTACGAAATATAAAACCTGCAAAATTATGCAGTTACGATTGGATGTGGAACACATATTTTCAATTCAGACAAGGGTACTGTGGACTGATAAATTGAGAGTTTTGTCAACAGTAGCGCCACCTCTGGTTAATTAAACATTTTTCTAATCCGATCTGAATGATTTAGATTATTCTATTATTATTCTTTTCTAGCCATGGAAACCCTGCATCATAAGTAACTTATACTTTTGCCCTTTTTTTCTATGTCTACTGACTGTATTAAACTAATGAAGATTAATAATACATAATCAGAAATGTTTGTTATTCAAATATTACGGGTTTCTCTGTCTTTTTTGTCTCAAAGTATTTTCAGAAACAAAGACATTTTTCCATTTTCTATCTTTCTCTCTCTTATTATAAGTATTTTTTAATGGTTCTAAGAAAACAAACAAAATGCCAGTGGAAAATTTTTGGTTGTCGTTAAGTACAAAGTTTAAGTGTTATAAGTCTTCAGATATGCTACTGAGCCACTTGGAGGGTCACATAGATAAAAGATTAAAAATGTACACAAAAGTTGACTAATTGCACAAGATTTGAATTATTAAAAAGCGCCATCTAATTTAGTTACCACTGCTAACAATCGGACATGTTTACTGCTGGACTGTGAGTTTAAATATATTACATCTACGTTTTAAAATTGGAAAATATACCCCAAACAAATTGCTGGTTCTTTGAGAATACTTGAAATTTATTATCATCGGTTTGACGCTGGTGTTTGTTCTTGGTTTGTCTCTAATTTGTACAATAGTTTGTTTTATTGGATTGTCTTAGATCTACGGTTAGTAAGCCTAGAGCTGCTTGAGACTTGAAGTTGAACACACGGTTTAACAACTTCTGACAGACGTCAACGTTGGAGGTGGATCAACTTACTCGATTGAATTTTTGGTTGGTTGTAATAATTCTAAAGTTTTCCTGGTAGTATTAAAGTTAATTGCAACCTAAAATTTAACAAGGTGAAATTTACTGTACAACAAACTCGTGGTAAAATTCTTAGGACAATTAAATCAAATAAAAAATAATGGAGATGTTGCGTTACCCGAAGCTAAGCTGTACGATTACTTTAATTTAGAATTAACGAAAATACTCGCATTGTATTATGAAACAGGTTTGATTCATGGAATTATGTAAATAGTGAAAAATTATGAATGACTAATAAGGCGAAATAAATTGAATAGCTTAGAAAATAAAAATTCGTTCACCCAGATGAACTGAAATTTTAATTCTAGGCCTAAATATTTCGATTAGTAACAATTTGTCAATCCAAGAGGAATTGATCGTGTCGGTTTGTATTTGCCTAAAGTGTAGAACCTGAAATTTAGCAAACTTAAGAATGCTGTAGAGTAAATATGTTTAATCGTCTTTAGTGGAACATGTGGCAAACACATTTCATGTTATATTGAATGCGAAAATGATGAATTATTAAATCCGATTGGGTTTATGTGGGAACTACCGTATTTTTCTGTGTATAAGACGCACTTTTTTACCCTAAAATTTGATGTCAAAATCTGCTTGTGTCCTATACACCGAAGGTATGAATAATATATATATGAT